GTCCTCTGAATCGCCACCCAGAACTCAGAGGCTGTAAACAGGGAGGAGAGTCTGTCAGTCATTACCATGCAAATAAAGCAAAGCAGAACACTGATGTGATGATTTAACACAGTTTAAATACATGCACGAAGTTTTCCTCAGACTGTTAATAAATACTGACAGCATGAGCAAAAAGAGTGAGACTCGGCTTCTCTGTGCTGAACGTCAGAGTGCACGTTGGATGTTAGGAAGGTTATTACGGTCCACTTTTATTGAGCAGCCAGAGAGAGCTGAATATTACATGTCTGCAGTATCGTGTGCATCCCTGTAGCTGTTTGCTCAGCGTGTGTCAAATTTTCCCAGACTCACGTTTATGTGAACGTGTCAAAACTGGGGGTTGCAATAACTGCTCATCGTGTCCAATGGGGGGGGCGCTCTTAACTGAACTGAGTATTTGGAGAAGACAAAAGCAAAGAATTTACCTTCTTGTACTGAGACGTATATCTGGTTCTCCTCCATTCGGGGCTGATTCGAGCGTGGACGGCCTCCTTTCTGAGAGAGCGAATGAAGCTTAAATAATTAGCTGTGAAATCATGAAGCTACACATTTGTGTGAAAGAGAAGGAACATTTGTGTCCTGCACACCTGAAACGTGCTTTGGCACAGTTTGTCCACCCAGTCGGCACAGTCGTCTCTGAGTGCGGCGAACACCATGGTCCTGTCCTGAGTCTCCACGCAGAACGCCCACATGTTCTCCTGCAGACACAAACCAGCTTTAAGCGTCTTTTCGACTTTTGCCGACTGGAACCGTGAGAGGAGAGTATGACGGCTCACCATGGGGCAGGCCTCAGCGTTCGGGGGGAGTCTGAGGACGCTGATCAACTCGGACAGTCGGACCACCTTCACCCTCCGGTCCCCGTGTTTTCTGAGATCGCCCCCTGCAGGATGCACCGTGCACAAACAGGCAGAGTTACAGCTGAGTCGGCGGAGAACGCCTGACAGACATAAATTACGCTGCTTCTTCTCAAACCAGAGCGACTCAAACAATAAGCTTCGTGCGCACTCTGCACTGCGGCCGTTTCCACCCAACAAGTCTTTGCTCAGAGCGCACGCTTCTTCTCCGGGTGGAGAAACGTGAGGCGACATGTTTGCCTGAATGTCAAACAGCCGCAGGCGATGCTTCCACTCGCAGGTGTGGAAGTGTTTGTGGCTGAGCTCTGATTTAAAACCAAGTAAGATTCAAATGTATGTGTGAGTGAGCTGAACACAAGGAAAAGGCAGAGTGATATTTAAAGATGAATCTGTAAAGACAGGATTAAGCACTGAATCATCCTGTCGTACTCACGCTCATGCAGACCTGCGAGCCACAAGCTCGACCTGTGTTAGCCTGCAGACTCTTGTTTATCTCATAATTTAAGGGATAAACATCCTGTTTTATCCACGAAGCTCTGAGACCAGTGACAGACATGATAAAGTCATCATGTAACTCCTCTACTCAAAATAACTTATGCAATCAAAGAAGTCGCCCCCTGCTGGCAAAGCATGAAGGTTTATGTCAGATCGAGTACATTCATCTTTATAGATACATTTTGCTGTGAACTGGTTCATCCATCGAGCTTTGGGTCATGGGGGCAGCAGACACGCAGACCCCCCCTGTCCATCCACCTCTTCCTAACTAATAAAGAGGGACTCCAAGCATTCCCAAGCCAGCTGAGATATAACCAGTCCAGGGTCTGCCTCCGTGCTTCCTCCCAGTATCCCACTATCTTCTTTTGATGTGGAGGAGTAGCAGCTGTACTCCAAGCTCCTCCTTTCATCTTCAGAGGAAGATCATTTCCACATTATCAGTAGCTACCCAGAGCAGAAGGTGACTGTAGATCATCAGTAAAGCTTCACTTTTACACTCAGGCCTCTCGGTTTGGCGTTCGCACCAGTCCATCTGTTGATCTCGTGCTCTGCTCTTCCATCGCGTGTGAAAAGACCTCGAGGTACTTCAAATCTTCTACTCGAGGCAGCGACTCATCCTGGATCGGAGCGGGCACGCCACCCATTTCCAGCTGAGGACCATGGCCTTGGAGCTGCTGATTCTCGTTCCTGCACACTGCTCTCATGATTCAAAGAACCTCGTCTGAAATCCTCAGGCCACCGAAGCCGAAGTACAGAAAGTGAAGAATGTTTCAAAAGTAGGCTGGAAAAAACCCAAACTGGCATCCCAGTTCCAGAGATTGGAGTATTTGGAGCACAGAAGGAGACCTGGCAACACGGCATGTTGTCAGCAGAACCTCTGGAAGGTGGAGGTGCTTTGCAGCTCCCACATGGATGTTTTCGATGATTTTCCCGGAGTGAACTTTGGGATGCTAAAGTAGTTAAAGCCGGGTGTGTATTTTAGCAGTGATGTCGTCCCTCTGTCTTTGAGGCCTCTATGCAGATGACAACAACTCTGCAGACTTTCTCTAAACTCCAGCTAACGTGGAGACATCCAGTTTGCGTGAGTGGGGAAGCAGCAGGAGAGAAGTTTCTCCCTCCAAGTGAGAAAACACTTGATTCCTGCAACTATTTGACCTTTATTTGATTACAGTGACCTGCTTTTTATGAAC